ATTGACTATACTTCAATTAAAAATAAAGAAGGAAAGAAAGAAAGAAAGAAAGAAAGAAAGAAAGAAAGAAAGAAAGAAAGAAAGAAAGAAAGAGAGAGGATAAATGGAAAAATAGAAGAGGAAGGAAGGAACACTTCCCAATTCATCTTGTGAGGCCAGCATTACTCTGGTACTGAAACCAAAGACATCACAAGAAAAGAAAACTACAGACCAAATCTCTTATGAATATAGATGCAAAAATCCTCAACAGAACACCAGCAAGCAGAATCCAATAGCATGTACAGAACTGTAACCACAACCAGCTGGAACCTAGCCCAGGAATGCAAGAGGGGCTTAAAAATCTGAGAATCAGCTAATGCAATACCCATATCAATAGGTTAAAAGAGAAAAACCACATGATTATCTCAATAGATGCAGAAAAAATTTTTTGACAAAACGTAACATCCCTCCATGAAAAACAAACAAACAAACAGACTAGGATCAGAAGGGAATTGCCTCCACCTGATAAAGGACATACTTAATGGTGAAAGACCGGATACTTTCCCCCTAAAATCAGGAGTAAGATAGAATGTCCACTCTCACCACATCTGTCCAACACTGTGCTAGCGGATCTAGGCAGGGCAAGTAGGCAAGAAAATTAAGTAAAAGTCATCCAGATGAGAAAGGGGAAGTAAAACTATCTCTAGTTGCAGGTGATATGATCTTACATATATAAAATTCTAAGGAATCCACTAAAAAACTACTACAACGAATAGACTCATTCATAGGATATGAGATCAATACATGTGAATATATGAAAACAAGCCTACATGAAAACCTGTACACAGATGCTTACAGAATTTTTCTTTTTTAAGAATTCAACCATTTCTTAAAGTGGGAGGAAAGAGTACACCTGGGACAATGGCAAGGCTGTATCCTTAGGGTACAAACAAGCCACGTTAACAGAGAAGGAGAAATGGCTGCATCTCAGCCATATCTATAATAAAATCAGTGTTGACATGAATATACTTCAGTTCATTAGAAGAGAGGTGTATTTTGAAAGGGAAAAATCACCTATTTATAGCATCATGCAAAAGATTTTGGCAATCTTTCACCAAATAATAAGAGGTACAGAGGAATATATGGCACAGTTGCTTCCTTCAAGGAGCTCATAATTTAGTGACAGAAAAGATAATATAAAGACAACCAAAGGAAATATAATAATATGATGGTAGCCCTTAGATTTGAATTTTTTTAATTCGAAAGAAAAGTAAATGTACCTGAGACACCAGCCTTTAACCTTGCATTTGCAGTGGCTTGGAAAGAGAGATTAAATATGAAGAAGCAAGAGGACTAGGAGTAAATACATGCCAGTGCCTCAGGCCAAGGTGCAGCCTGAGGCAGGTGGGTTCCCCCACAGCTGTCTCCGAGGCCAAGACGACACACAAGAGGTCTCTTGGGGAATGGCCTCAGGTTCAATAAGCATGGAAAGGAAGAGAAAAGAGCAGGACTGCAGAGGATCGTGATGCAGGATCGGCCACCCCCTGACTGATGCACAAGGAGCTCTCTATAGCTCTGCATTGACTAGTCATGGCTTGCAGGTTGCCTTTAGAAGGGAGAGTGACATTGGGGAAACAGCCTCTTCAGTCAAGGCAATACTTGAAGAAGGCTTAACTTTAAGAGCTGCGTGCTGACAGCTGGGGAAGTAAAGCCTTCGGTCCTGAAGAGAGATCAAGAGAGCACATCACAGTGCCCAGGCCCAAGGTGGCACTTTCATCCCATTTTCCACCACACAATCTTCAAATAAGACACATGAAGTGACAAGCAGCCCATCTAAAGAAGCAGAGAGAGGATTTGTGTCTAACTGCACAGAAGTACACGTTCCTATATTTTAGCTGAAACCAAGTTTCAATGATAAATGAACTGACCTGTTAGAAGAGTATAAGGTATAAGCCCTTGTTGCAAGCATTTGACTGGAAGTTTTCCTTTTGATTACGCTTAAGAATCGGCACAGATGATACAAAGCCAAGGGAAATCTAACAAAAAGTACCTTGCAGCAGAGGCAGGATCACCCGCAAGCCTCTCACCTTAACCGCTTACTGTATAGAATCCAGGCAGTTTACTGCAAAAGGCTGTGTTTACTTAGCTCAGTCCATGTCCTGTTGAAAGGGCAGGACCAACTCTTGGCAAAAATGGGAATGAGATCAATTGAAGTGTCCTCCAGACCTTTTCTTATTATGATGTGGCTGTAGCCTGGAGGCTTGTAATTAGGACTTATCATTGACTCTTTCCCCAAGGCAGTAGGTGAGAGGCAGGTACCCAATACCCAGATCTCCCTTTCTGACATTCTCCTCCATTGCCCCTTTTGATCCTACTGTCTTCTAGTAGCCAAAGGCTACTCATACCTGCTCTGCTTGGAAAGTGCTTGGAATGTTTTCTTTTAAGCCAGTGTTCCCCAGTGTTTGCTTTGTGGACCAACTGCCTTATAGTCAGGAATATGTTTAAAATGCAGGTTTCTGAATCCCATCCCAGATTTACTAATTCAGAGACTGTAAGATTCAGAACAAGTATTCTGCTTTTTTTTTTTAGAAGCTAGTGAAGCGACTTTTATGCACACAGAAATTGTAAAGACTTCCCTGCTCCTCTCTCATGGCCCTAGCTGTCATATGGGATAAACAAGATTGAACTGATGTCTGATAATGTGTAGTGTCTTGACCATCTTATGGATGGCCTTGCATTTTAACTGAAGACAGTCTCTAAGAACTCAGACTCAATGGGGAAATTTCAGCCACCAGGGCAAGATGATTACTGAAAATGTCCTTCCTTCTTAATAGACACTAAATCTGCTAGCCCTTGAATTTTGGACTTTCCCAGCCTTCAGAATTGTGAGAAATAATGTTGTTTAAGCTACCCAGTAAACAAATAAACAAACAAACAAAAACCAAGTCCTCCTCCTTCCTTTCTCTTCTTTCCCTTCAGTTTTACTTGGTGATAGCCTTGTCTTCTGACCTCCCTCCATCTTGGATCCTTCTCTAAATACGTGTGTCAGTCAGGAAACTGTAGACAACCTTAGATTTACATGTCTAGGTTTATTAATGTCTCCTTAACTAACTCAATTCTGGGGAAGACATGTTGCCACCAGACGTGAAAACAAACTACCCCCACCCCCAAGGGAGCCATTAACTAAGTACTGCAGGGAAGAGAAAACAAACGAAAAAGAGTTCATTGTCAAATAAGTTTGAAGGATACTGAGTTAAAATTCAGCTGTTTCTTTACTATAGAACTTCTTAGGGTCTTAAACATGCTAGTTACATCATAATTTTCCCAGAGGAGGCTACACGTGCATTATGCCCCAGCTTTTCTTGGGGATCTCGTGAAGCCGTGATACTTTGTGGATCGCACTTTGGGAAAGGCTGTTTCTAGATTTTAACAGATTATCTGACCATCAGTTACACTCATGCTGCAGCATGGTCCACATTTTCTACATTCTGAAATTCTTTGGCTGAGTTTGATTTCAGGTAATTATTATGGCTTAATTCACTGTGGCGTTTGATTTAAATTTCAGCAAAAATACCCATCCTAGGTCTTTATTTTCTGTTATTTCAATAAACTTCAGATTTCACATCCACATTTCATACTTCATTAAATTTACTTTTAAGTAAACTGTGCGGTCCTTGGCCAATGTTTTGCAAGTGGATTGTGCTTCTCCTTTTGGTTGAAAGAACTTTGTTAAACTAAGTATCAGTGTTCCTGTTCTCAATGTTTATTTGAAAACTTCAGTTCATTATAGACTCATATATCTACTGTAACCTTTTAGTCCACCTAGCATTTTGGTATTTTGGGGGAAAGCATTTTGTAACAATATTTGCATCTATCTCAAATAAAGATTTCAATTCACTCAGCTTTTAGTGTGAAGTTCTAACTGACTGCTTTTTAAAGAACTCAGATTAAATTTTCACAAATGCTTCAATTATATTTCCTTCTCTTAAAAGTGGCTTCTATTATTTTCCCAGAAAGAATTAGAGCTTCTTTGTTGATAATTTCTTCAATTTTCCTTAAATCTTGAAAGAGTTTAAACATAAAATGCCAATGGGATAACAATGCAGATTTCATCATAAAGACTTAACCAAGAATAGATAAGGGCACTGAAGTTTTAAAAGTTGTAAGTTGGAATAATTTCATTCAACTTCCATCTTAGAAATATATTGCTGTATAGATAAAAATAAGATTTATAGTTAATGTTTTAATGGATTTTGTTTCTAGCATCTACCAAGGTGGGTTGTGATGCTGTCTGGGAGAAGGATCTCAACTCACACATTTGCTACCAATTCAACCTGCTTTCATCCCTCTCCTGGAGTGAGGCACACTCTTCATGCCAGCTGCAAGGAGGTGCATTATTAAGTATTGCAGATGAGACTGAAGAAAATTTCATAAGGAGTAAGTAGGTGGATGATGCACATTGATGTTGATACAATTAAAATGACCGTTGTTTACAATTACGTCCATACATGCAAAGAGACATTCTGGTGAAAGTAAGTCCCTTGGAAAATATTTTTATTTTATTAACATGGTCCAAACTCACACCCAGAATTTTGACCTGAACTCTGAGCCATTCCACTTGGCACCTCTTATTTTCTCTCCCTTGGAGAAGTCAAGGCCACGGCAAGGGACTCAGGAGAGTTTGCAGCTCTAACAAGTGGGTCCAGGAGACTTCTAAACTTAAGTACGAAGTCCTGCTTTGCTGGAAATCTTAGCCATTCAGTTTCCATTAATAAATAATTAAATTGCTTATTAATTACACAAAATCTGACCTGTCAGTCACTGTGTAAGTAGGCTTCCTGGTGGATGCCAAAGAACTTAAAATTTAATTGGGAAAGCAAAAAGCACACACATGTTAACTAACACTAAAGACAATAACAAACTATCAAAAGAGTGCTAATGACTGGGTCTTGCATTTCACCTCTCACCTCAACTGTCTTCTTACTTCTCCTTTACAGATCAAGTATGTTTGTAGATGTGTACATACAGCATTTAAATTTGGGGGGGAATCATTTGAAAGTGTCGCAAAACTTGTCACTTTCATTCAAAGTTTCTGACACTTTCACATTTTATTGCACACGTTTATTCTAGAATAACAATAAGAAAATTATCCTAGGATAATTTTAAAAGTTCAAATATACAGAAAGAAAATGAAAGAAAAATCTCAGTTCCACAAACCAGAGATAACCACACTTTTCTGCAAAAACATACATTCATAGTATCTATGAAAAATGGTATTGTATAAAAATGTGATGCAGCTGTTGCACAGAGGTTAGGAGCAGGGACCAAAGAGTCACCTGCCTGGATTTGAGTCCACCACCATCACTTACTAACAGGGCTAAGGAGATAAGTTACCTAACCTCTCTGTGTCTCAACTTCTCCCCACTATCAAATGGAAATAATAACAATGCCTACTTCTGGCAGTGTGGCTTACATGTTGTAGTGCAGGTGAAGTCTTAGAAAAGTGCCTGGCACACATAACAAACACTCAATGTGTGTTCAACATTTAAACAGCAATTATGCACACAGTTTAGTAACATGCTTATATAATTTACCTGCATGTAATGAACATCTGTCCATGTCTATAAATGTATATATACATCATTGTTTTTATGGCTACATAGTGATAAAGGTTAGCAATGATGTATCTTATCTAATCTCCAAATATGAGATAGGAATAGATACATTTATTTATTTTGTTTTATTTATTTGTTGCTATTAAAAATCATCCCTGCACATACCTTTGTGCATAGATCCCCAATTATTCCTCTGTAAGTTTGCAGAAGTGGAATCACTGAGTGGAAGAGGAAGCACATTTTAAGGCTTTTGAAAGTCATACATACCTTCTAGAAGGATTGTATCAAATGCATGAACAGTATATGTCATCCCCTTTCCCCACAGATATGCAAAAGTGGGGAGTTATCATTGAAACTAATTTGAATCAGCCATATTGCAGGAGAACACCCACTTCCAATATCATTATTAGCCTGTAATGGTATTTATGGAAAATTTTGTGTACCATTTATGACTTAAAATTGTTATCTATTTCGACTGCTGGATCTCTAATAGAGAGTTTGGACTTACTCATCAAATTTGAATGATGATTTAAAAAATAAGATATGTCAGAGACTTTGACTTAAGTACCACAATTTTATAATTAGATTTGGGGAATTGTTTAGGAAAACAGACGTCTATTCATAAAGACTAAAGCTTGTTCTGACCAAGGTATTTTTTATTGATGAGAATAATCTACTGTTTCTTGTTAATGACTGATGAACATTAACTATGGTATAAAGAATTATCCAAGGTGCCACAAATGCCTAGAAATATCCAAAGGAATTTAGTTTTGAATTTATGATTATAGAATTATGATCCAATTTAGTTGTAAAGCTAAATAGACTATTTTTGTACTTTTAAACACAGATTATAAATTACACAATATTTTTATGTGTATTGTTAAAACAATTGCATAGAGACTATTCAAAATAATTTTAAGATAGGAATAATTTATATCTAAATATTTTACGTAGATTATTTGAAAGCATCACTTGGCATTTACATGATATGAAATGCAGAAATGTGGAAATTTCTCCACCTTGTCAATCCATCTTCTGTTCTGCCTACTGTCTTCATGACACCCTTTAGATGATTTAATCAAATTGTGCTATTGAAAGGGCTACTCAAACAGACATAAGGAAGAGTGTTTATGCCACAGAAACTTGGAAGGGCTGGGCCCATGAATGTTATACTTTTTCTGCTAAGTGATTTTGGGGGTCTCAAAATTATAAAGCATCTTTTCCTTTTTCCTTAAGTGGTTAGGTTCTTCCAGTTTTCCACTGTTATATTAAAATGCCCAATCACCGAGGGTGCTGCAACCTCGTGGTCTGAATGCACTAATCTTTATAACCTGGGTGACCCGTACAATTGATCATCCAAACTGAGACTCTTTTGAGAGTAAAAGGGGCTGCCATTAATACTTATTCTGGAACTACCAGCAAAAGCCATGAATTTTCCAGGCAAACCGAGACATACATGCACTTTATTTATAACTCTTATCTGTCAGGGTCTCAGTCTCAGGCATGGCCCTGGCATCTGGCTCAGAATAAATTGAGTTCTGAAGCAGATGAACCATAAGGGAACAATGCTCTCCTTTATAGATTAAAAGATTCAATGGCAACATTTGAAGGTGTCACAAAACTAGGCACTTTCACTAAAAGTCTCTGACACTGTCCCCCCCCCCAATTTTACAGCACAAGTAGTACATGTTTATTCTAGAATAATTTTTAATATTCAGGTCCATGGAAAGAAAAGCCAAAGAAAAATTTCCCTGAATTCTACAATTTTGATAAACATATTTTTCTACACAAGTGTGTCGATGCACATGTTTATACATAGTATCTATAACAAAAATGGTGTTGAATTAAAACACAAGGTGTTGTGGTGCACTGGCTTGGAGCAGAGTTCCCAGGGCCAGAAAACCTTCTCCCACCCCACGCTGAAGAAGCGTTTGCACTGCTCACGGCCCCAGCCTGCTGTTGATCCCTCTGGACGCTCTGGTCCCTTGGGCTGTGCCATCCTCTAGGCTAGACTGGCTCCTCAAATAGACAGCCCTCCCCCTGCTTACTTTAGCACACCTCCTTAAATTCCAGAGCCTCCAGACTGAGGCCACCAGGCATAGGTGGCAAAAGAAGGAAGACAAAGGGGCACTTCCTGGCAGTGGCCCTGGACACTTCCTCCTTCACTCTTTAAAACCCTCAGGTGCATGAGCTCACACAAATTAAATGGTCTCAAATTTGTCACCATGCAGACTTGATGAATTGAAGGCCACTGAGAAGCAGCATTTCTGGGTGGGTGCTTACATTAAGCACTTCACAGCTGCTGTCAGCTGCTGGCTTTTTCACTCTGAAGCACCAGGGTGGGGCTTAGTAGCACTTAAAGCCTTTTCTGTCATTGGTGGAGTTAATTTAGGACTCCATGCTCTAGGAATAGGAAAACAAGAAAGAAGTGTAATATTGGTTTGTTTTTTTTTTTTGAAAGTCCGTATTTCTCTTCATTTCAGAGCACTTGGGCAGTGAAGCAGTGGAATTGTGGATAGGTCTGAATCAGCTGGATGAAAACGCTGGCTGGCAGTGGTCTGACAGAACACCCCTCAACTACCTGAACTGGAACCCAGGTACCTGCAGCATTTTGTTTACCTTCGACAGGTAGCATCATCCCACGGCCTAAAATAGCAGTATTTCCCACGTATATGTAAGATATGTGACTGTGAAAATGGCTTATAAACATTTTTAAAGCCTGATTGAATTCCTACAAGGAATGCTATTCTGGACCAGAAAATGGAGGCCAAGAAGATAAGCTATTTAGCCAAGGTTGCAGGAGGATTTGGGTCAAAGCCAAGATTCTACTCAGTTGTTTTTAAAAATAGCAACAGATTGCAAAATATTTCTCTACTTGAAAACGATAAAATCAGTTTTTGCTATCTTTGGGAAATCATTTCATTGTCATGCCTGGACTTCAACTGCAAAATCATAAATATAACATCTTATAGGATTTACTATTTATGCCAAAGAGAAGGGCTGTCTCCTTGATGCTAAAACTGCATTTCAACATATATTAAACTAACTGCTTTTGCTTCTAACACACACATTGTATTTTCAGAAATAAATTTTGAGCCATTCATTGAATATCACTGTGGAACATTTAATGCATTTATGCCAAATGCCTGGAGAAGTCGGGATTGTGAGTCTACCTTGCCTTATATATGTAAAAAATACCTAAACCATACTGATCAGGAAGTAGTTGGTAAGTGTTTTTATTTTAAGTTTTTTTATGAATTGCTTACTTGTCCTCAAATATATTTGAATATAATATTCAAATTCCTCTATTTTTGCTAATAATTCATAATTTAAACTTAGCTAAAGCTAGTTTTTATATGACTAAAAATGTGTAACTAGATAAGATCTGTTATTCCAAAGGCAGCAGGAATTTAACAAATGCATTTAGGTTTTTTCCAAAAGCTAAAGCAAAATAATCTAAGTATAGAAAACATTTTCTCCCACTCTTTTCAAAAACTGTGCATTCTTTCTGCCTTAGAAAAAAAAATATGCTTCCTTTTCTAGTTGAGTTTTATTTATGGCTACCCTAGAAATTAAGTATGTAAATTAGTAAACGGTTTTTTAAAATTCTTTACCTCATTGATTTCCTATCACGCTCCGTATCTCTTACTAGTAACACATCCTCCTAGAAATAACCGACAACAGCTTTTGGTGTAACTAAGGTTTAAATACCAACGAATTACAATCTAGTTCCTAAAGCCCAGTTATTCCTGTTTTTAAGGTCAGCTATCTCTTTTTAGTTTCTGTGGGAATTAATATCTTAACTCAGAAAGTAGAGTTAAAAACATAACCATTTTTTAAAGAATCATTACCAGCATAAGTAGAAACAACTCTACATTTAAAATAACAAGCTGAGTTATCATTTTAAAGTCTTATCCCTTACAATTAAGCTTTGACTTTTATTTTTCTTCAAGCTGCTAAGTCTAAGGGTATTGCAGAGAACGGGGGCGAGGAGAAGCATCGTGCCAGATTTCACGGAGAGATTTTTTCATTATGTCAAGAATGTGCTGAAATTGCTGGTGGTGTTATTGTCCTGTCCCTCCCTCTTTCCCTTTCATTTTCCTGTCTCAATTTCTTCTTTCATTTTTTTTCTTATGTCCTCCTGCACTGCCTTCTGCTATCCTTCTTTTCTTCTGTTTTATTTGCTCTCCTGATTTATTAATTGAGGTCAGAAGAAAAGAAATGAGGGCAACTAAGCTAAGTTTGTTTGCATTATTTGCTGCAGCTTCAAGTTCAACAAATACTTTTGATGATCTAGTCCAGTGTCTTCTTCAATCTATGTATCCGGGGTCCCCAGGTTCCTTGCTTGTTTCCACCCTGCATCAGAGAAGTTCCTCTTTTATCTCTTTATCTTATCTTTAGAGTAAAGTTTATGGTCCCATTTTTAAAGGGGGCTCTGTGAGTATGTTTTTAGTTTGAAAACCACTGGGATAGATAATATCTAAATGTTCTAACATTCTTCCATGGTGATTCTAATCACTGTCAGAGTCCTAGAAGCAATTTTAAAAGAATGTCTTGTTTGCCAAAGAGCAGTGAAGTTGTTTCTAACTAAATTAGTTCTTAAGGGAGTTACCCAGTCTAGGGGCAAGCTCCTGGAAGAGGAGAGCCAAAACTGGCAGGCACACAGCTGCCTTCCCCACCAATGTCAAAGTATCTGGGTGCTCTTTTCCCATAAGTCAAACCCGGAGTCCATATGAACCCAGAAGGACACCACAGCCACTCAGACTGACCCCCAGGATCCAAGCTTTTTGCCATCTCTGTTCTGGAGGAAGTAGCAGAATTTCAGACTCTTTTCAGTTGAGGGTAAATAACTCCCCTCACCTAATACTGTATATAAAATCCTTTAAGAACCGTTTAAAGTGTGTCCTATAATACTCCTTTTTCAGTGTAAAAATATTTTTTTAGAAGGACAGCTCTAACTGCTAAATTTTGTATCTAGCCCTGACATTCACTTTGGTTGTATCAACTTTACCAAGTCTCCTTAACCTCTCTGTGCCTTAGATTATCTCATCTGGAAAATGAAGCTAGATCATAGAGTGGGTTCTTCTCAGGTCTGAAGATCTAGAAGGCTATGTTTTATATCATTGTATCATATGTTTCTGCTTTTCAAATTTAAAAAATAATCATATATTAATGGTAATTTATATTGAGGGTAATAAGTAATGGTAAAATAATTGTAGAAAATGACATTGGTTTTGTTGGTTTAAAAAGAAAAAGATGCTTGGAAATATTATGCTACCCACTGTGAGCCTGGCTGGAATCCCCACAATCGTTATTGCTATAAACTTCTGAAAGAAGAGAAGACCTGGAATGAAGCTTTGCATTCCTGCCAGTCTGATAACAGTACACTAACAGACATAGCTTCGTTAGCAGAGGTGGAGTTTCTTACAACCCTTCTTGGAGATGGTGAGTGCCAAGAGTCTTTGATTTAAGAGATGTGAAATGTAATGTGGTAACTATATTAGTGGAGCTAAAAAGAAATTAAGCTACTTGAAAGTGATTATTTATGGCACATATACCTGAAATTTCCAAATAATATCCAGGAGTATAAATTCACTGGTTTTTTTTTTTTTTTTTTACAAAATACATGTTTGGGAACTTTGTAGCATCTCACACATGTCAAAATACCTAATATATCTATGTATGTTTTTTAAGGGGCAATGGTCATTTCATGAAATTTCTAAAAAAGCCTGAATTATGGGCACTAGATAGTAGTAATTATGGGCACTAGATAGCAGTAGTGTGCTGTGGTCATGTAATCCAAGCACTAGGAAATGTTGGATTTTGGCCAGTGAAAATGGATAATTTATTTGGTGTGGTGGTTTCCAAGCTCCAAGGCCTCCACCCAGCTTTTTCCACCAGAGCAGATCTGCCCCTACCGATGTCATATATTGACCAAGATTTCTGCTGGAAAACCGTGAAATCATTGACTCAGCGTAAATTTTTTAAATGGAAAGAATCTCCAGCATCTACTCTGATGACCTGTTCAATGTTAGGTCTTAGTTTGGAGTGAAAACAAAACTCCTCTTGTCAATTTTGTCACCCTTTACATTTGGGATTAAAGGACTCCTGCAGCTGCCTCCATCTTGATGGCATACTGGAACATCTCTCTCCGTCTGTGAGAGTCTTTTCACCCTACCTAGACTGGCAAGATTTATTTTATTTACTTTTCTAGCAAACCCATTGCTCCCATTCAATGATACTAAGAGTTTCTGCTCCTTTTTCCCCAAGGCAAAAAAAAGAATAAAAGCCAAACACCATTAAAAGTTGTTGTTGTTGTTGTTTTTTAAGTACCCCTTTCTTAATCCAAAATACCCTCTTATTTTTCCTTTCTAGAAGCAGAAGAAAAGCCAGACTTTTTAGGTCTATTCCCCACACTGTAGTAGGAACTAACTAGAGCTTCAGCAATCTCACCTGTGCAAGCTCTGTCCTTGCACTGGCCTTACCTTCCCCTCTGCCTCACTTATAAGGCCTATATTGGGCAGATCTGGATAGACTAAGGAGGGAAAGGTTTAAGCAGATGTTTCATACTGAAACTTAAACAGGTTTCATCCAATGAATTAAGAAAGAGAAACCACATGCAAAGCGGTATATGTCGGTAATAGTCCCTGTGTGTTATCTCCTTTGCAGATACTAAGATTCTTGTAAGTAATTTCCATTTATCTCTTGCAGGAAATGCATCAGAAACATGGGTTGGTTTGAGCAGCAATAGAATTCCAGTTTCTTTTGAATGGTCTAGTGGCTCCTCCGTCACCTTTACAAATTGGCACACACTTGAGCCCCAAATTTTTCCAAATAGAAGCCAGCAATGTGTCTCAGCAGAGCAACCTGTAAGTTGACTCATTTGTTCAATACTCACTTTGCTGGACTTGCACTGAGCACCACCTGTGCTGAGGACTGGGGCTGTGGAAGAGACTACGACAGGCACAGTGCCTGCCCCTCATGAGGCTTCTGTGCTAGGCAGCTAACACGTACACACCAAAATTATAGTAATTATGGCTGTGACGGTAGCTCTGAGGAAGTAGGTTCAAAACGGTGAGAAACTTGGGTTGGGACATCTGTTTCAGACAGGACAGTCATGGAAGAGGTTACATTAAAGAGGGGACATGGAAGCAGGGATGTAAAGGGGAAAAAAAAAAACTCTTCAAGGTCAGAGGAAGATCATTCCAGCAGGGGACTACTGCCCAAAGTCAGCCAAGGCTTGCCATGTTTGATAGGAACCACTAAAGGGCTTCAAGGAGACAAAGGGCATGATCTGATTTACATTTTAAGAGTAACTGTGGCTGTTACCCAGAGAATAGATTGGAAGAGATTAGTTTAATTCCAAGCTATTTGAAGGCTTTTTGTTTTTCATATGTTTAGAATCTCTTTGATCAGAGAGCTGCTGAACTCACTGGCTGAGTTTTAGGAGGTTGAGAGGTAGGTAAGTATCCTCATTCTTTTAAAACACCAGGATACTATACCAAGTTCCCCCAAGAAACAGTTTACTAAATGTTACTTAAGTAGCTTGACAAAGTGATCTTGCCAGCCAAACATGAGAAATTCCTAAGCACTTACTTTTAAGACACACTCCGTTGTTTTATGTTTTAAGGCTGTCAAAAAAAAATGTGCAGTCCAATTACAGCACTCAGGCAAGTATGGCTGACACTTCAATTTGAATCTGAGAGCTTAGGAAGCTATTCATTCATCCATCTGTCCAATAGTTATTCAGCAACTACACTGTGCCTGACACTATCCCACTGGATGGTTTGCTGGAAGACTACAAGGCTAAAGGGCTACAAGGCTGCTTTTAACATTTGAAGGTGTCAGCCTCCTACATAGTATGTTTCTGAGGGTCATGGAAGAGCTCTGTATTTCCCTAAAACCCTGCATGCCTGAGATACCACCTAAAATTTGAATCATGTGATTTTAGCCTAAAGGTCTGTTAAAATAAAAAAATCCTTCGGGGGGGATAAAATTTTAATCATTATTAATGAAGGATATAAGAACAGCCTTCAATAGAGCTAGAAGACATGAAGGTATCTGCCCATCACATAAAGAGAAAATGGAGTGGGGCTTTGGAGGATTCATGGTGAAGAAGGGCACTGGGAGGTGAACATGGAGTTCGGCTATGATAATGTTATCTTAGGCTTTTCCTCAGCATCAGGTTTACACAGCACCAGGTATGCAACAAAGTATTCAATTTTAAACCTAAAACTGGTTGCAGAGAGGAAGCAGCACTCTCCCATAGTCAGGGGGATAGTTTCATCCAAGTGGTTCTCAAAGTGTGGCCCCCCGGACCACCAGCATCAATATCACCTGAAAACTTGCTAAAAATGCAAATTCTCAGGTCCTGCCTGACCTACTGAATGAGACATGCAGATCATGGGGCCCAGTCGACTGTGTATTAGTAACTCCTCCAGGTGATTCTGGTGCACACAATAAGATTGAGAATCACTACTTACCCCATCTTTTAAAAAATTTGAGAGTAGCTTAATGTAAAGCCAGACCTCCCACTCGTATGCAGAGAATCAACCTTTTCTAATGACAGCATAAGATCCTGACACTATACCCCACCCTGAAACACTTATTATTAATCATATTTTTATTCAAAATAATTGGTGTTGCCTATCAGTATTAGTAACAGAGTGTATTCATTCATCTTGTAACATTTTTTCCCCTTAGGAGGGACACTGGAAAGTTAAAAATTGCGAAGAAACACATTTTTACGTTTGTAAGAAAGCAGGCCATGTCCTTTCTAACACTGAATCAGGCTGTCAAGAGGTAAGAGCTCTTAACATTGCAGGGACTTCACAACCAGAATAATTTATCCACCATCAATTTAAAATGAATTAATCTCTCTCTCCCTCTCTCTCCTGCCTTTGTTCTCTCCTCCCTCTCTTTCCCCTCCCTCTCTTCCTTCCTTCTTTCCTTTCCTTCTCTCTTTTCCTGAATGTGGGCTACTTTTAACAAACCAGACAATTATCAGCTAGTCACTTGAAGGATTTACAGCTCTGCAAAGCACTGTTGTCTTACCATCTACTTCCACCCAAGACTAGTTTTCTTTTGAGATAAAAAATGTAAATGATCCTGTTCTACCATCTGTACAAACAATGCCTGTCATGAGATGCCCTGTCTCACACGTGGTTTTCATTGTCTTCCAATGAAGACTGTCAGAGTGAAAACAAATGTATTCCTTTGAGTCAGAGAGTGACCTTCTGCACCTAGAGTCTTGCTTTCCTTTTCACTTGTCTTCAACTTGAATATTTGAATAAAATACAATAATGAAGAGAGGTGCATGTTTGCAATACATTTATTATTTAGGAAAGGGATAATAGAAGTATTACTTATTATTTTAAGTAATAAACTACTTTTGGTTCTTAAAGTACTATTTTCAGTACTTAAAAAATACTTAATACTTTAGGCTTAAAGTTAGAAAATAATCTTTTTTAAATTTCTTGAAATACATTCAATATTCTGCAGTAAGTTACAAAAAATTTACCTATCAGTGTCCTCAACACATGTGTTCTCTCTCTCTCTCACACACACACACCCCTAAAAATTTTGGATTTAAGTACTGGAGATTTTTATGCTGTGTGAATCTCAAATTTTTTACAGATCTGGTTTTTATTCAATTCTCTTTTCATTATTTTCTCTTCTAATCCAGTTACTTATGTTCCAATTAAATGATGACCCATCTCTCCAGAAACTGCATTTGATTCATTAATCAGTTACTCTTCATACTTTAGCTGAATAATACATGTACCATAGCTGACATATGACCAAACATTGTAGCTAATGATTACAACTCCTGAGTTAGAGCTGATCATTGACCTAATCTCCATCTGACCAGAAATATTGAAAAAAATTCTGTCTTACAGTGGCTTTCAAGGCAACTCAACATGTTTTATTTATGTTGAAAGGGTAATTAGCTTCTTACACAACAGAAACAACTGATGTTCTATTCAAACTTTTGTATACTGCTTCTCTTTTTCTGGGTAGCCTTACCAATATTTAAAGATCCTGAGTTCAGAGCCAGTTGTATAACTTTATGGTGAAATTCCATTAATTTCTTTATGCATCTGTGTATGAATATGGTTTCAAAAGTTTCTTTTCTTTTAGCCAGTTGCTTCAATGCAATTCTCTAAACAGTCTGCACATGCACAATCAACTTATAAAATGTCTTGGTAATATCAAAGCAGAAATTTTTTAACAATTTATTTCTATCAGAGTCACTTTTTTGGGACTGGATAATATGAGCAATTGTTTCAGTATTGTCACCACCATCATTTCATTTAAAATGAAATGGCACCTCGTTTACAAAGGATATTCACAAATACAATCAGTTATTCTTCCCACTTTCATTGTGTGAACAAAGGCTTGTAGTAAAGAGTCTTTGTTTTTCTGGTTATTACAATGCCACATTTTCCCCTCTTCTCTTGAGCCTGTTCAGTTCTTGGATTTTTTGTTTTGCTAAGCAGCCTATGATCTAAAAACCACTAATGAAGAAGGAATACTTTGTCAGAAAGGTCAGATTGTCAGCCTTTCTCCTCCTGTCCTTCCAAATACAAAAGCAGTCTAACCTCCCTGCCCCATCTGGAGTGACCTATGGAGGGGTTCGGCTGACACTGTCAATTATTCACACAGATAAGGTTGGGGAGAGAAGTTAAGGGGGTGAGTTCAGAGCACATCCTGGTGGGCTGGATGCAGCAGGCACTCCTGTGATCCACGCCTCATTTAATAATGTTTTGAACTAAAATAGCTTATTTCTAAAACAAGATTTTTCTCTAATTTACTGCAAGACCAAGACCTTTTCTGAATAGTATAGCAGAAATCATTTTATATTTGATCAAAATCTGGCAAGTTTTGGCATGACACAAAGTGAAGTGTATTTTAAAACTGGTGAATACATAAAAATAGATTGATAGAAGTGATACGATTTTCTAATATTGGGGAAAAAAAGAACTAAACTAACTCAGTTGAAATAGAGAAGACTAATGAATCCATGTCTCCTGCATTGTATGATTTTAAAGAATAGAGCCACCCTTCATCGCTCCCAGGGCTGAGCTACACAGCTACACATTTGTCATTTTTGTCTGAGTGCCAAAGCTTGTTTGCTTTCTCTCTAAAAGTCTAGCCAATTAATTTGGGAATAATATTTACCAAAAAAAAATGTATTTTCACCAATCTCTATTTGGGAGCATGATGATCCAGTCAAGACCATCCTGGATTGCACGAGAATTGGGTTCCAGGCCACTGTCTCCACTAGTCTCTGACTTTATCCATCTCTGTAATCTCAGTGAATCTCAGTGGGATAACATGAAATAAGCAATGTGAGAGAAAGTTGAAAAAATATAACACATTGTTATCTAGATACTTATGCCCTCTTTGCTCGTATAAATTCCTGGCTCTATTCCACAGTCTCTGCCTGCACTGTCTCCCTTTGATTCTCAAAACAACCCCCGTGGATACTATTATTATCTCCATTTACAGAGGAGAAAACTAAGACATGGTGAGTTAAATAAGGTCATACGATGGTACAGCCTGGATTCAAACCTATGCATTCTGTCCTCAAAGCCAAGATTTGATTTCTATAACCCTGTAGGAACCATTTACATGAAATCCTCTAAGTCTAAACAGACAGAGAGAAAGTGGGGAGTGGGGAGGAGAGATCTTGAGTGCATGTCCCTTTATTTTCATTGGCTTTTAAGGTTTTGGGTTTTAAGATTTTAAGTTAAAGCTTTTAGGTTTAAGAATTAATTAGATAAATGTAGAAGTGGATGTAACAAATGGCATTATCAGATAGAATAAATATAAAGATATAAAGACAAAAATTCAAGTTTTGAGTGGCTCAGCAAAGAAAGTTGTATAAATGGTAAATAAGAATACACACACAAATATATATTTTGCTATTTAACTAAATCAGATTATGTCCTTAAGTTTTCTTTTCCTTCTTTAAGGGATGGAAGAGACATGGCAGATTCTGTTACAAAATTGACACTGTCCTTCGAAGCTTTGACCACGCCTCCAGTGGTTACTACTGTCCTCCTGCACTTGTAACCATTACAAACAGGTAAAATAGAAGTTTTCTATCAGAAACTGGGCTGTGCTTTTTTTCTTGAGGGCTCTTGGAATGACAAAATTTATCCATAATCAGTAACTTGCCAAAATCTAAAGTGTACTATACATTAGGGTATTAAATTATTTAAATTGTTGATTTAGATGAATTTAAAACATACAATGTTGTTCTTAAAATGATCAATAATTTAGAGTATTAAATTGAATTAATTTAATGCTCTAATGTATAGTATACCTTAAACAGTAAAATTGAAGATGACTTTTACTTTCCATAAAGATTTATTAACTATCTAGATTGTTAATTTATTCAGGTGTATTTCTATTTTATCTAAGTGATTACAGAAAAAATATGCCATTTAAAAATGAAGTATGTTTAAAATGTACTGTGTGTGAGTCATGTGGGATTTTTTAGAACAAAAATAAGTAAAACTAAACCGTGGAGGATTTTCAAATGCTTCCCCATTGCTTCCTAGGTCTGTGTTTGTTTAGATTTAGATTTCTCTGTGCATAGATGTCTTCTCCATGCAGAGAATCCGTGTCCCTTTTACACTCCATACAATTTGCAACATGCTTCAGATGTGGCGCAGGGAATAAAAGTACCAACATCAGAAGTGACCTCAGTGTCACTATCAATGCCAGGAGGACAATAAGGGCTACGAGAATGACTCCTAGAAGCCAAAGACAAAAGCAAGGTAGAATTCTTCAGTGGTTCCACAGAAAACTACCGCCACAAGGCTAGTCACTTGCCTTTTTTTTTAAACTGAGGCAATGGTCTCTAAAAATATTCACTGAAGACCAGGAAAGAGGACAACTGGTGCTATGATTTTATCTAGAGACCCTTCACATGTAGGTCTAACCCACAGGAGGAATTCTGTGTGACTTCTCTGCTTTCTCCACATAGGAAATCAACATTCAAAGCCACGCAAATTTCCTTTCTCCTCTTACCTCTTAACTTCTTTCCCAGTGTTTCCTCCAAACCATGCACAGGAATGCACCTGCACGCGCGCACACACACGAATAGATTGATAGCATTTGCACAATAAATTGCCTGGTGAAACATTTTATGGTCAGGAGACCCTTTCTCTGGGGTATAGCACGGCCTCTGATATAGCTCAATGTTGTTTTTAGTTCTACTTTCCTCCTTCCCAGAATAGCTACCAGGTGGAAGGAAGCCTTTATCTTCCACCTGTTCACCCACCCAAAAGGTTTTAAGACCAGCTTGGGTTGATAAGTCCTCCAGTCAGTGTGTCAACATTGGACTGTTTTCAGGAGTCTGACCAATGAAGCTGTGCTCTTTTGTTAATTACAATTATTTTTTTTCCAGTGAAGAACAAGGTCTAATTATTTCACCTGTTTTTATGTCTTATTCTCTCATTTCTTTTTTTGTGTAATATTCATAGAGTGCCTCACATACCTGGCACTGTGTTAATTACTTTCATATGTTATCTGACTATGCAAACAATCAACGGTCAAGAGTTTATTCGAAAAATACGTACTGAATATCTCTATTGTGAGAGGCATCATATTAAACACTGGCATGCTGCACAAAACAAATAAAAGTCACAGTGCAATTGTCCTCGTGCTACTAGCAGGCCAGCAGATAAAGAGACACGTGAAACAATTGAAGAAAGTGAAATAAAACAGTAAATGGATAAATTCAAAGTGACATTACAGAAAGCTCATAGTGCCTAAGTGACCCCAGTAAGGCAGACATCTGTTGGAGTTCAAACACTTCATTTTCTAAGAATCCTTCGGGAACCTTATGCAAATGATAGAAATTGTCTGGAAAAAATCTACTCTGTTTCATTTTCCCAAAGCTGGATACAAGAGTATGCTGTGACTACCACAAACTTTTTCTTTGATAAACTGTATTCAGTAGCCAAAGCTAATGCATGGTCCAGCTCCCAAGCAGAACAATAGCATAGGTAAATTTGTTTTCATCCCATCCCAGCCTCCTAGGCCCCCCAGGTGACCTTGCGCTGTCATGCTACTCAGTCACCAGCCAAGCCCCCGAGCTACTACACATTATCGCAGGGAGGAGCTCTGCCAGGCAGTTTACAAGCATGCACAAGGCCCTGCAAACGTGTCTACACCCAAAGCAGTGACTCCAACATGGGACATGCAAGTTGAGGAAAGGAAGGGCCCTATGCTCTTGATTTTTATTCATTCAGACTTTATCAGATAAGAAACAAAGACCCACACCATACTGTTCTTTGAGTGACAATACACATTCGGATATTTTTCAACAGCATCTTTTGTCTGAGAAGGTTGGGCAGAAGATGGAAAGTCTCCTCAGATCCAAGACTATCCACTAGTAACCTTGGTAATCATTTTCTTCCATTACTGATTTCCTGTTTGAGTTAAGGCACTCCTGTCACTCACCGGTACCCAAGCTTGTAGTCACTAATTGATTTTCCACTCTTCTGCACAATTGAGCGACAGATTCGATGGGCACAATTAGAACCACCTGCTACAAATTACGTATTTCTTTTGTTATCAGGCAACTGCTCCTGGTCTAGGACTTTTAACACTTTGTGGAATGGAGAAGGAAAGAAAAACAAACCCTTATCACTGATAACAGAATTTGCTTTGCTTGCTGTTACAAAATTTTTTTCAGGCTTGATCACTTTGCTTTCAGACAGAACATGAATGCAAAACTTGAGTTTCAGAATTACCATGGATAATTGTCTAAGTGCATGTTTATCTAAACCTCGAATCAATCAGCCATGGAATATTTGGTACAAAACAATTAAAATGATATTTGATTTTGAGAATTTTGCCAAAAGTGAGGAATGCTGCAATATCTCATTTTCTCCTAAGTTTAAACATGCATTATTTTCAAATATTTTTACAGCTCTGCCATTTTCTTGCACCCACCATATGCCCCAAAGACTTTTGCAGTTAACTTTTTTTATGGTGCTAAAATATACACAACATAAAACTTATCATTTTAACCCTTGTAAGTGGCATTAAGTACATTCATATGATTGTACAACCATCACCACCATCCATCTCCAGAACATTTTTCATCTTCCCAATCTAAAATTCTGTATCCATTAAACACTAACTCCCCATTTCCCCTGCCTCCAGCCTTTGTCACCCACCATTCTATCTTCTATCTGTATGAAGTTGGCTACTCTCATTACCTCATAACTGGAATCATACAGTCATTGTCCTATTGTGTCTGGTTTATTTCATTTAGTCTAATGTTCTCCAGGTTAATCCATGATGTAGCATGTGCCAGAATTTCCTTCTCTTTTAAGGCTGAATAATATTCCATAATATGTATATACTACATTTTGTTTATTGATTCATCCGTTGGTAGACATGAGATGCTTCTACCTTTTGGCTATTGTGAATAATGCTGCTATGAATATGAATGTACAAATATCTTTCATGTCCCTGCTTTCAGTTATTCTGGGTAATATATCCAGAAGTAAAATTTCTGGATCATATAAATAATTCTATTTTTAATTTTGGAGGAACAGCCATACTGTCTCCCATAGCAGCTGCACCATTTTACATTCCAACCAGCAGTGCACAAGGGTTCCAATTCTTCCACATCCTGGCCAATACTTGTTATTTTCAGTTTTTACTTAATAGCTATCCTAATGAGTATGAGGTGGTATCTCACTGTGGTTTTGATTTGCACTGTGGTTTTGATAATTAGTGATGATGAGCATCTTTTCACGTGCTTATTGGCATCTCTATGTCTCCTTTAGAGAAACGTCTATTCAAGTCTTTTACCCATTTCTGAATTGGAATGTTCTCTGTCATTGAGTTGTAGGAGTTCTTTATATATTCTGGATATTAATTGGATATCAGAGACATAATTTGCAAATGCTTTCTCCTATTCTGTGGGTTGCCTTTTCACTCTATTGACTAGTGTCCTTTGATGCACAAAAGTTGTTAATTTTGATTAAGTGCAGTTTAGCCTTTCTTATTTTGTTGCGTGTGCTTTTGGTGTCTTATACAAGAAATCACTGCCACATTCAGTGTCATGAAAAATTTCCCTTGTGTTTTCTTCTAAAGTGTTTTATAGTTCTAGCTCATAGGTTTAGGTCTTTGGTCCGCTTCGAGTTAGTTTTGTAAATGGTACAGGGTAAGAGTCCAGCTGCATCCTTTTGTAGGTGGATATGAAGTTTTCCCAACATTATTGTTGAAAAGACTGTCCTTTCCTCATTAAACAGTCTTGGCACCCTTGTGGAAAACCACTTGACCATACATGCAGGGGTTTATTTCTGGGTTCTCTATCCTAACCCACTGATTTATATGTCTGTTTTTATGCCAATATCACACTGTTTTGATTACTGTACTTTTTAGTAAGTTTTGAAATCAAGAAGTATGAGACCTCCAACTTTATTCTTCTTTTTCATATTTGTTTTGCTATTCAGGATCTCTTGCAATTCCGTATGAATTTTAAGATGGATTTTTCTATTTCTGCAAAAAAAATATCATTGGGATTTTGACAGGGATTGTATTCAATTTGTAGATCACTTTGGGTAGTATGGACATTTTCAACAATAAGTCTTTCAATCCATGAACATGGGACATCTTTCCATTTGTTTGTGTCTTGTTTAATTTCTTTCAGCAATGTTTTGTAGTTTTTAATGTATAATAAGTCTTTTGCCTCCTTGGTCAAGTTTATTCCCAAGTACTTTATTCTTTTTGATGCTACTGTAAATTGAATTGTTTTTCTTTTCAGGTTGTTCATTGTTAGTATATAGAAATGCAACTGATTTTTGTGTGTTGACTTTGTATCCAGCAATTTGCTGAATTCGTTTATTAATTCTGACAGGTTGGTTTGGGGTTTTTTTGTTTGTTTCTTTGTTTTGTAGAATGCAGTTAACTTTCTTTTTAAAAACACATTTTGATTACCCTTTTAAAATTTTGCAATAGAAACATTCTCATTGATATAATTCAAGCAAGCCAGAAGAGTATCAACTAAAAAGTGAAAGTGTCCCCTCACTTTCACTCCTCCCCCAATCTGCTCCCCTAGGTTTATTTTTTGTGTATATATTAGGCGTATTTTCTAATTCTATATTTTTCTTCTTGTCTTTTGAAATAAGCAATATTCAAAAACTTAACATTTTTAGTTCTTGGGGAATGCCGCCAGAAACTTCTCGCAATAGCAATCATGATGCGTGTCTCCCATTTGAAAACTACTTATATTCTATTGCCATTCTTTATTTCAAAGAAAGAGAAAGAAATTTATCGTTTTTGTACTAGTTCAGCAATAGAATTATTTATTTGAAAATGGCATAAAAAATGTTAAAAAATGTTTTATTGGGAGAAATGCAACTGCAATTACTCAGCTCAAAGCTGAGTCCCTCCTAACCAGATTATTACATATATATTTTTTTTTTTGATTGAATTGGCTCTCTAGTTAAGCTGCTTCCAATGCATTATTTTTTTCAGTCTTTTGTTTTAGGTACTACAAACACAATCATTAAATACTGCTTTCTGCTGAGTACTGTGTTATTTATGTGCATATCTCAATGGCCAAATTGATGAAGAATATAATATTCAATTAGATATTTAAGTATAAAATAGCTTTTTTGAAGTGTACATTTTTGAAATGCACAATATTTTGAAATGAAAAAATGTCAATGTATGCTAAAAATATTTATTGCTGTATTCAAATTGCATCTTTGAAATTAAAATTTAATGTTTAGCACCATCAGCAATAGTTTCTTCTCAAACTGGTGGAAGTTCAAGATGTATTTTTCTTGTTTACACTGAGAATACACATTTGATTTCTTAACTTTTTTAAACAGTTGATGGGAAATTTTTTTTCTGATTTTAAGAATTAATCTCCTACAAAATTTTATTTTATAAGTAGGTACACAAAAGCAAAATATTTTATCATTTGTTTTTCTAAAGAATAACAATTTTTACTTTACTGAATTCCTTAATAATAACACATTATCCTGGTTCAAAAAAATAATACAAAATATATACATGTGGTTATTTTTGTTTCTTAAACTATAACAACATTTGAATTATGCAATCTCAGTGAAACCAGACAAAAAGTCCATATATGAAATTCTGGAATATTCTCAAACGAAGAATTCTAAAACACAGGGCCAAAAAAGACTTTAAAAGGTCATCTCCTGTATTACCATAAGCCAGAGTTTTCACAACCCTTTTAGTGTTTGAAACCAAATAGTGATTGATAAAGAATATAAAGTGTTCTATTGTTGGAGTCAGTTGGAAACAGACACTCAGGAGATTGCATGCTGTTATCCAGAGTTACTTTCTTAAAGTATATGGCTTAGAGGAAAGATACAGTTGCTGAATTTGTTTATTAACAATGCCATCTTTTCAACTTGACCAGAAAAACTAGTCCTGTTTTTATTTGAAGTTTATAGGATTTAATGTATGAGTATTATATGCAACTGCTTAAAAGATATACTTGCCAATTCAAAAAAGCAGGTTTGTATTGTTTTAAGCAATGATAAATAGTTATAAAATAGACAATCAGAGTAGACTAAATCAATCTAAAACCAACAGGGAACAAAAGCAAAATGTTGTCATGAATAATGATACCAGAGGCCAGGCTGACAGACAACATTCTCTCTCTCCATTATCCAATAAATGCCATAGTGCAAGGTAATGGAAGAGCCAGTCATGTCCCCTGGGTTTAGAACCAGCACTGTGAATGGTGATCCTGGCCACAGCCTCCACAGTGCAGACCCTTGCTGACCTCCTAGCATTGCAGTTTCAGGCACCAGGTGGGTGTGATAATGATGCTACTCTGCCCCAGAGGCGAGAAGGAAAAGAGGATCCCATGTTGCGAGAGCACAAACCAGTGGAAGTGTAAGGAAAAGCACAGCAGCATCTGGACAGTGTTTAGCTTTCTATACCTTCCTTTTGAAGCATAGTTCCATAAAGTTCTGCCACTGCAGTCTGGTTTAAAAGAACTTTCCTAGTTTCAGAGTGTGCTATTTGGATTATTAATAAAGTATCTGCAGAAAATATTTACTAAAGCATGTGCTCTGCCAAGATGAGTCCCTGGATGCCTAATATCACTAACTGTTGCTCGTGATGTTCATAAGGCAGTTAAAAAGTTTGCCTCTTTTTGTTTTTTGGGTTTTTTTCCTCCCCTGTTTCCTTTGAGACGCCTCTATTCTTGAATGACCCCATTGCTTTAGGTTTCCTTAGGAAGTTCAGGATGCATGGCAATGAAAAAAAATCTAAAATTGGATGAAAAATTCTAATTTGCTTTCTCCTTGGGTTTCCCAGGTAATTTTAATAAGGCCTTTCCTTTCTTAGTGACTCAGCAGGTCTGGCCAAAATTCACCACTGTTTGAAAGGTGTTTCTTCAAAACTTAATATGTATTGAAACTAAATTTTTCAAGACTGTTTCCAACTTAGCTTAAGATTTCAATGCTAGTTAAATTTTCATACATCTTTCTGTTAGGTGTTCAAGGGGAAGCATATACCCAAGTTTTCTAGATTCTGCTTTCAATGCATTCATGTTGTGAAGGGAGCACTGCCACCAATCAATGAATTCATTCAGCTGTTTGGGAAATAAAGTGGGCATGGTTCTTTGGATAACTTCCTCGGGTTTTATATTTATCTTCAATGAATATGCACATCTGAAAAACCAGTGACTCTATGTGCCTGTGAACAAACTGATTTGGGAGACATAAAACTGCTACTCCAATCTCTGTGCCATTCTCACCAGGCAAGTGTGGTGTTGGCGGGGAGAGGGGGTGCATGTGGACTCTATGTTGGCAGATGCTCATTCAGAAAAGCATAATATCTCTCCTCTTTCCCACTGTCAACTCCCCACCGCACGTACATTACGGCATGGTGTGTGCTGTGTGGTCTAACTACAAAATAGGGCATGTGTTACTCCAAGAAATGTATTGCTAGCTTTCTGGACTTCACTACCTACAGTCCAAAACTGGAGCTGGACTCTACTCCTCAAAAGAATCAAGCCCCAACTTTGAGAATCAAATTCTCCTCACTTATATATTTCTGGGAACTGCACTGGCATTTAGCACTTGTGAGTAATCTTCAAGGTCTTTGAGTATTTTGCTGCTCCATGTTCTCAAGAATTCACAAAAAATGCTTGCTCTGGTGCCATTCTGTGCACCTCATTATGTTTTAATGACATTTCTTAATTGCCCAGAAACTTACTATAATCATTTCCTTTTTCCCTTCTTAAGGTTTGAACAGGCTTTCATCACCAGTTTGATCAGTAGTGTGGTAAAAACAAAGGACACTTATTTTTGGATAGCTCTTCAAGATCAAAATGACACAGGAGAATACACTTGGAAGACAGCAGGACAGAAGTCAGAGCCCGTGCAGTACACACACTGGAATGCCCGTCAGCCCCGTGAGTAGAGGGGACTGTGACACCACTTCTCCCGCCTGTTTTCTTTGCCCAAAATTCCTTCCACCTCACAGTCCACCTCTTTTGATTCTTTCTTATTGTTTTCTTAATGCCTAAATCAACTAAAACAATTACCACAGGCTCTCAGGGAATGATATATGACTGGTCATTTAAAAAAGTATAATCCATATGAGTCACTTGACAGGTTCAAGCTATAAATTCAATGCTCAAGACCACACGTGCCTTTATTAGCAGGATGTCCAATTTCTTCCTCCTAAAGTCTCTTCCCCAACCGCCCTCATTGTCCAAGAATCTCAAGGGCTTACTCAGCCCCAGAATAGTCTGTTAGACTTCAAAGCACAGTAAATTAGCACATTTGAGCACAACTGATCAGTCCTCAGTCACTGCCACATGACTTTGCTGTGGAATACTGAACGGTAACCTTGCTAGTCTATCTCCTCCATGGATGTCTGTGGTACCTTAGCCAGGATTTCAGAGTTACAGCTCTATTAGTTCACCCTTCTGTGCTCAGCTCTGGATCCTAAAGCATGAAGCCATGCCAGTTAGTCAGTTCCAGAGAAGCTAATGGCTTCAGCCACAATCAACACTAGAACCAGGCCCTGTGGAACAAATTTTAGGCCCTTGTGTTAATCTTAGTCACCAACCTAGATCCAACATTCCTTTACCTCAGTGTGAGCCCCTGTTTGGATGCATTGGTCTCTTTCTTGCCTGTGAATATCAATCAGGGCTACCCCATTAAACAATAGGCAGTAGGTTGCCACTAAATTTGTATCTGGAGGAAATGGGTTAGGAGCTTCAGGCTCTTTCCTGAGGATAGATAATTATTACTATAATATTATAATAATGATAATAATATATAAAATACATAGCAATAATTAGTCAAAAGACTGTATATATATCAATTAAAAGACAGAGATTTTCAGAGTGGTTCAAAAAACAGGACCCAACTATATGTTATCTACAAGAAACCCACTTTAAATATAAAGACATATAGATTAAAAGTAAAGTGATGGAGAAAGACATACCATGCTAACATTAATCCAAAGAAAGCAAGAATAGCTATATTAATATGACATAGAGTAGACTTCAGTACAAGAAATGTTTCCATGGATAAAAAGGGACATGACATAAAGATAAAGGAATCAGTACTCTAAGAAGACATAACAATCCTTAATGTTTATGCACCTAATAACAGAGAGGTAAAATACATGAGGGAAAAATGCATAGAACTGCAAGGAGAAACAGATGAATCTACTATTATAGTTGGAGACTTTAACACCCCTGTATCAAGAATGGACAGATCCAGCAGACAGAAAATCAGTAAGGATAAAGCTGAACTCAACAGCAGCATCAATCAACTGGATATGATTGACATCTATAGACTACTTCATCCAACAACAACAGAGTACACATTCTTCTCAAACTCAAATGGAACATTTACTAAAACAGACGACATTCTGTGCTGTAATACACACCTTAACAAATTTAAAAAAATAGAAATCATACAATGTCTGCTCTCAGATGACAATGAAATTAAACTAGAAATCGATAATGGAAAGATAGCTGGAAAATTCCAAAATACTTGGAGATCAAGTAATGCACTTTTAAATAACACATGAGTCAAAGAAGAATTCTCAAGAGAAATTTTTAAATATTTTAAATTAAATGAATATGAGAATACGATTTATCAAAATTCGTGAGATGCAGAGAAAGAAATTTATAGCACTGAATGCATGTATTAGAAAAGAAGAAATCTCTAAAATTAATCATCTAGCGTCCGTCTTAGGAAACTAGAAAAAGAAGAGCAAATTAAATTCAAAGTAGATAGAAAAAAAGAAATGAGAATTAGAGCAGAAATCAATGAAATTGAAAACAGGAAATCAGTAGAGAAAATTAATGAAACCAAAAGCTGGTTCTTTGAAAAGATTGATGAAATTGAAAAGCCTCTAGCTAGGCTCACTAAGAAGAAAGAGAGAAGACACAAATTAATATCATAAATGAAAAAGAGGATATCACTACAGATCTATGGACATTAAAAAGATAATAATAGAATATTATGAATAACTCTATAGCCACAAATGTGATAACCTATATGAAACAGAACAATAATTTAAAGACACAATCTGTCAAAATTCACACAAGAAGATCTAGACTATCTGAATATGTCTGTATCTATTAAAGAAATTGAACCAATAAATTATAACCTTCCAAAACAAAAAGCATTAAGCCCACATGGGTTTAATTGGCCAATTCTACCAAATATTATACCAGTTCTTTATAATCTCTTCCAGAAGACAGAAGCAGAGAGACTACTTCATAACTCATTCTATAATGCTAGCATGAGCCTAATACCAAAGTCATACAAAGATATTACAAGAAAGGAAAACTACAGATCAATATTTCTCATGAACATAGACACAAAAATCTTCAACAAAATATTAACTAATTGTATCCAACAAAGTATAAAGAGAATTATACACCACAACTAAGTGAGATTTATCCCAAGTATGCAAGGCTAGTCCAACATTCCAAAATCTACTAGTGTTACCTATCACATCAACAGGCTAAAAAAGAAAAATCACATGATCATATCAATAGATGCAGAAAAAGCATCTTATAAAATTCAACACCCATTCATGTTAAAAGCTATTAGCAAACAAGGAGTAGAGGAGAACTTCCCCAACTTGATAAAGAACATCTACAGTAGACCCACAGATATCATACTTAATGGTGAGAAACCAGAAGCTTTCCCACTAAGATCAGGCCTTAAGGCAAGGATGTCCCCGATCAACACTTCTTTTAAACATCATACTAGAAGTCCTAGCTAATGCAATAAAACAAGAAGAGCAAATAAAGGTATACAGATTGAAAAGAAACAAAATTTTGTTCACACATGACATGATCGTCTACATAGAAAATTAAAAAGAATCAATAAAAAATTCCTGTAACTAATAAGCAATTATTGCAAGATAGCAGGATACAAGATTGATGTACAAAAATCAATTGCTTTTCTGTATATCAGCAATGAAAAGGGGAATTTAAAATTAAAGTATATTATCATTTACATTAGCACCTCCAAAATGAAGTTCTTAGGTACAAATCTAATGATATGTGCAAGATCTGTATGAGGAAAACTATAAACTTTAATGAAAGAAATCAAAGAAGTACTAAATAGAGAGATTCCATGTTCATGGATAGAAAGACTCAATACTGTCAAGATGTCAGTTCTACACAAACTGACCTATTGATTCAATGCTATCCCAATCAAAAAACTGGCAAGCTATTTTGTGGATACTGACAAACTGATTCTAAAGTTTATATGGAGAGGCAAAAGACAGAGGATAGCCAACTCAGTATTGAAGGAGAAGAATAAAATCAGAGGACTGACACTACCTGACTTCAAGACTTACTATAAATCTACAGGTAATCAATGTGGTTTTGGCAAAAAAAAAAAAGCAAATAAATCAATACAACAGAATAAAGAATCCAGAAATAGACTGATACAAAATAGTTTACTGGTTTTTGATAAAGAAGCAAAAGCAATACAATGGGAAAAAATATAGTCTTTTTGACAAATGGACAATCAAATATTCACATGCAAAAAAAAATTTAGACACAGAGCTTACACCTTTCACAAAAGTAACTGAAAATGAATCATAGACCTCCATGTAGAACATAATGCTATCACATTCCTAGAGGATAATTCCTAGAGGATTTCTATTGGTAATAGAAAACCTACATGACCTTGGATATGGTGATGATTTTTAGACACACTACCAAAGGCAAATCCATGAAAGAAATAACTGATGAACTGGACTTCATTAAAACTAAAACTTCATTAAATTTTATACTCTGAGAAAGACAATGTGGAGAGAATGAGATGACAAGCCACAGACTGGGAGAAAATACTTGTAGAAACCACATTTGATAAAGGACTGTTACCCAAAATATACAGAGAACTCTTAAAACTCAACAATAAGTAAATGAAGAACCCAATTTTAAAACAGACAAAAGATCTTAAACAAAGAAGATATATAGATGGAAAGTAAGCATATGAAAATACATTCAACATCCTATGTCATCAGGACACTGAAATGAAATACTGCTACACATTTATTAGAATGACCAAAACACAAATCACTGACAACACCAAATGCTGTCTAGGATATGGAGCAACAGAAACAATCATACACTGATAGTGAGAATGCAGAACAGTATGGACACTTTCAAAGACAGTTTGGCAGTTTCTTGTGAAAGTAAACATACTCTTAACCACACAATCCAGCACTTGCACTGTTTGGCATTTACCCAAATGAATTGAAAAATAATGTCCAGACAAAAACCTGCATACAGATTTTTTCTACAGAAGCTCTATTCATGCTTGCCAAAACTTGCAAGCAATCAAGATGTCCTTCCATAGATGGATGAATAAACTGTGTTACATGTAGACAATGGAATATTATTCAGTGCTAAAATGAAGTAAGCTATCAAGTCAGAAAAAGACATGGAGAAAACTTAAATGTGTATTACTAAGTGAAAGAAGCCAAACTGAAAAGGCTACATACTGTATGATTCCAATCATATGACATTCTGGAAAAGGCAAAACTATGGAGACAGTAAAAAGATTATTGGTTTCCGGGGGTTGAGGGGAGGAAGGGATTTATAGGCAGAACACAGAGGATTTGGGGGGCAGTGAAACCATTCTGTATGATACTACAATGGTGGATATATGTCATTATACATTTGTCCAAACCAATAGAATGTACACCACCAAGAGTGAACCCTAATGTAAACCATGGACTTGGGGTGATAGTGGTGTCAATGCAGGTTTTAACAAATGTACTTTTCTGGTATGGGATGTCAATAGTGAGGTATGTGGGGCATGAGGTAAAGGGAAGTCTGTACTTTCCACTCAATTTTTCTGTGAACCTAAAATGTTCTAAAATATATAGTTCATTCTTAAAAAAAAAAACTAAGTGCAT